GCCTCTGGTTTTTTTCTTTTTTTTTTCGGCTAGATAAGCTCTCTTGACACTCTTCAGGTTTAAACCTAGGGCCTCATAATTCAAAACCCCCTCCCACCATCTGAACTAACCTCAGATGGTCTGTGCTTCTGGTTCTACTCCACCTTTTTTTTTTTTTTTTTTGAGGTTATAATCTTTTTATGAATAATTCATCAGTAATTACTAATATTTCAGGTAATTTAAAGTGATGGAGAGTCTTTTTATTATAATCATAAAGTGTAGTATTACTTGACTCTCCAAAAAGGTGACATGAGTATGTCTGGTGAATAATTGCGCGTGTGTTTGTTTCGAATATGACTTTTCAGGTTGGTGACTGATATTCCAGCAACTACAGGGGCTAGCTTCGGTAAGTAGTTTACGCCTACCTACAATATCATGCATCATAGCTCTCACATCCATTCAAATATTCCACAGCGCACACGCACACACACATATATGTATATACACGTAACGACAAACTATGCGTGCATGTTTATACATACATATATCTTAATAATTTATTATATATGTGAACACTTTGGACGTTTAGAAGGGGGATTTGTATCTTTGAATCATAGTTCGTGATTCGTTATAGTATTTTTTTTTATAAAAAATACACATAAAACGAGAATAATTCTGAATTTATGACCCAAACATCTGCTATGTGTTTATTATATATAAGCACAAACGCATGTGATGGAGTACTTTGGTATTTCATATTTGCCACTATCCATGCATATATATAGGCACTTATTTTTATGATTTGATCAGTAATTACTGATTTTTTTTAGGGAGTAATTACCGATCTAAATATAATTACCATTAAAAACTATTGATATATGTATAAAATAGTTGGTAAATAACTCGTTCAAGAGACAGTCGACATTATAACCTGGCTCATTCAATAAATTAGGTGAATATATTACCTGTGAAATTTGTGATATAGCTAGCTAGGAAACTTCAAGAGTTGGACAAAGGAAAGGAAATTGGGCTCTCGACAAACTACAATTAATTAATTAATTAATTCCTTTGTCCTCTTGTCCCACCTTATCTATTAATTATTAGCACTCACTTCCAGTTTACTTTGGAATAAAAAGTTCAAATTAACCATCTTTAACTATTACATCTTTCTAAAAAACTACACAATCATTACATGTGTTTTGATTCATCATGTGTGTACACACCTTTTATAATGAATTAATCAATCAATCAATCAGCTTATGAAAATATATTCAGTCCTACCAGCTAAGAAAGTAATGTACCGGCCCCTACAAGTTGTCTCTACGTGTAGGGCATTATATAATTCTACGACATAGCTTTTCTTCAACACCATTATCAATTGCAATTTGCAACAATAACATGGTAGCACATAAATGGACAGACATATTAGACATAATTTTGTCCCCGCCATTTGTAAAGGATCATCTAATTAGTGTCACATTCAGTAGATTCCTTCACGTATATATATTCCCTGACGTTTCCTGGAATCAATAATACACGCATATAGTAGTACATAGGACTACTCGATATAATATATTATGCATACAAACATGGTTATTTATTTTGTCCTTCATCATGCGTTGTAGGACAAGAGGTGGTTTGCTATGAGAGTCCACGGCCGACGGTGGGGATTCACCGGTTCGTCTTCATTTTGTTTCGACAACTGGGAAGGCAAACAGTCTTTGCGCCGGGGTGGCGTCAAAACTTCAACACCAAAGACTTCGCTGAGCTTTACAATCTAGGATTGCCTGTCGCTGCTGTTTATTTCAACTGCCAAAGGGAAACTAGCGGAAGAAGGCCGAGATAAATGCATGATTAATCTTAATACTTACCTTTTAATCACATATCCAAACCGTATTACACCTATCGAACTCTCAAAGCTATAAGTTAAGATAAGCATGAAGACTGAAAATAAGATTTTGAAAAATGCAGTACTAGCTAGGACTATATATTCTTAATTTATATGTGTGTGTATATATATATATATATATATATATGTATGTATAGACGTTACCCATCATATTTAAGATTAAACTACGCACGTACGTGCTGTTTTTACCATGTGTAGCTTTATAGTACGATAATATATTATGTATGATCTCTCCTCGGATACGCGCGCGTGTGTGTCTGTGTATGGAAATAATAATATACATATGTAGGTTTGTAAATTAACTGTATCGCGATTGATTATGATATATATAGTATTTACATAGATATATAACATCTTTTAATTAAACCACCTTTATTCAAAACCTCCGATCAGATTAGATTTCGCATCAAAATATTTCATATGTGAACTCGTACGTCAAAAAATAAAGGGTATTTGTAGGGGATATGCTTATAATTTGCTCCACCGACAGTGCACAATATCTAAAGCCGATTGAATACCATCGCGTGGCTAAGGATATATAATTAAATATATAGATGGGGTGGTTTTTATTCAGTCCAATGTGGACTATGAGACTAGGGCTGTAAGAAACTCGACTAATCCGCCTTCAAAATTTGTGGATTTCATTTTTTTCTTGAATTCAAATAGGCCCAACCAGCACATTACGGGTTGGGCCGCAGGGCGGGCTTCCTTTAGCCCAATACTCTCCGACCCGGCCGATGAGATCAGTGGGAAAAAAATCCCAATGCCCTGACTCTCAATCTGATATCTCACTCTCACCTTCTCTCTTTGCGCCGCTCAGCAGCTCCTAGTCCTCAGTCCTCTGCTAGCCTCCCTCTCTGACACCGTTCTTCTTTTTCTTCTCACACTCGTCGAGTTGCCGTCCCTACTCGCTCGTCGTTTTTTCTTAGAAGCAAAGCCAAAGGCTCTCAAGCTCAGTCTATCTCCCTCTCACTTCCTCAATCCTCAGATTGAACCTCGCCGCTAGAAATACTGAACCTCGCGGCAAGTGAGAGATTGATTCTCATGTTTTCCGGTGAGATAATCAAAAAATGCTTCATAGTAGACCCAGGAAAAGAAAATGAATTTCCTTAAAATAAATAAATGAAAAGAGAAGAATATTTGTTGTTGTTGTCTCTTTGTTGAGCAACGTCAGATTTATGGAAATCACTAATACGATTGTGCAGAAATGGATTCATGGAGTCGTGGAGATTTTTTGTTTTTTCAATCTTCTAGAAAAGTTTAGAAAAGAAAAAGAAATTTACTTTTTATTTCGAAAATATTAACCAAGACCTCCTTTCATTTTTTTTTATTTGAGTTTAAAATTTAAATTTTATTACAATAATATAAAATTATATCTTAATTTAAATTCTAAATTCAAAAATAAAAAACTAATTTTTCAATAAAATAAAAAAAAAAAACTGAATTACATGCGGCATTTTTAGGACTGGTGGCATTTAAGATGAGTGAACACCTGGGTTGTGGCATGTAAGCTTCCTCTGTCACTGTGTCGTGTCTCTCCTCCAAAGGCCTCCGAAATTGTAACTCAAAATCTCATTAATGGTTGGTTGCTAAAACAATACTTTTCTTTCCAACAGGGCACAGTCAAACGTCTAAGTCCAATCTGCTCAGCTCATAAAATTGAGCTTATCTGAGATAACTCCAAGAGTTACAAGTTTATGAACTAAATACAGTGTTGGGGCTTAAATTTTTCTCACTCCAAATGTGATGGCTCGGTTCAAATTTTGGACACAACTCCACCCTTATACCAGACTAAAATACAAAGTTATTTTTGTTTAAAATTATATTCAAGTAGTACTATTAATTAGTTCATATTTGTTATCTCATTTGATGGTTCCCCACTAACATTTTGACACCTAATTGCAACTTTACATAATATCAGCTCTATAATGATGCAATAAAATATCAACTTACAGAGCTTTCCTTTTGTCTGGTAGCAGACGAGAAAGGTGGTTTCGGCTTCGTTTTCTGACCCCGTGTGTGTAGAAGTATAAGAAAGAGCTGACGTGTAAAGTTATAGTGAGGTGTCAAAATAAATAATACGTTCATTTAACTGAAGTGAATTTAATAAAAAAATTTTTAAAAAAATAACCACATCTAATTTTTTAATTATAATAAAATTTTTTTACATAAAATCATATCTTAACTTGAATTAATGAACTAAATGAACTATAAAAAAACTTTCGATGCTCTCAATCTCTAATGCTTAATAAACAAAATAAGTGTAAATTAAGAACAAAAACCAGTAAAGCATTATAAAAGCAAGCCAATTATAAATTCTGAGAAGTAATGAATATTATTCAAATTTAATTTATTTAAATATTATTGTGATTTTAAAATTATATTATGTTAATAGTCGAATTCTCTTATGTTTTACGTACTTTTTTTAAAGTTATATATAAAATATAGATTATCATAAAAACTCATTATATTTTTATGTGAATTAAATTACAAAAATGTTCATATTAAAATATTAAAAAATGACCACATAAAAATAGATAGATATATCTCTATACTATCTCATAATTTACAGTATTTATTTCAGAATTGTGTCACAAAAATCTCATATCGGTTTCATTTTGATCCTCAGTTCATTTAAAAAGTTGATCAGAAATTTCGAAAGCATTGTGTTCAGAAATAAATATGTTAACACAAGTATGACAATCACGATAATATTTACACAAATTAAATTCTCATAATATGATTACTTATTATCCCAGCAAAAATTAAATTTAAAACATAATTATAATTAAACTAACATAGTACAAAGAAAAGATTCAAATAACATTTTCATAACAACAATAATAAAAGTAGAGTTTTAGTACAAATATTAGTGACGGATACAGTTTTTGACCTGCTTCGGATATCTCCTAACAGGACTCGGAACTCCTCCTACATAATTTAAATTTAAACACTAAAAATTACAAACTTTAAAATTTAAACTAAGAATTACCAAAACAAAGATTTTCCTTTTTTTAATTCTAAATAGCTGCTCGAGGGATGCCTTGAAGAGTTGGAGAAGCAACCTATTTATAAGTCTTGAAATGCGGATGAGTCCAATTCATGGATGCAGTAGAGTCACGAAGCAGGTGCAGAAGGTCCATGGGAGGCTTAGCAAGTGAAATGATTTTGCAAGTTGCATTCTTTAGAATTTTTTATTTTTTTCTTCTTTTTTTTTCTTTTTCTTCCTCTGAAATCACCTTGAGAATCCAATATTTTGGACTTAATCTAGTGCGGTAAGAACTACGTAAAATTTGATTTTTATTGGCCGTCAGAAACCAACAAAATTTTCAAATTGATCCGAACCATTGATTTAATAAGCATGACACATGCTGAAACAGAATTGATATGAGAAAACAAGCTGATATTAACTGGCTCACATGGATCAAACATAAGAAAAATGCTTTTCAACTTGTGAGGTCGGCTGATGTTTCCATGTCTCCTCACTATATTTCTCCCGGAGAGTGTAATGCAATCTCCAATCTTAATCGTCCAAGTGCTTCGATTCAACAGATGTGACTGAATATGAATTAAAATAAAAATAAAATAAGAATTATTATATTTATATTATATAAAAACATAATATAATATAATATATATTATTTATTTATAGTAATAATATATTGTTATATATACACAAACATAAAAAACATATATATATATTATATTATATAAATATTTATTTATACAAATTAAAATAAAATAAAAATACATAAAAAATTAAAATCACACAAAAATAAACAAAAATCTAATAAAACCAAAATAGTTTGCATTAAAACAAATCAAAATAAATTAAAATTTTGAAAATTATGTCGGTTTTTGTACAAAATTAAAAGTAAAGTAACTCTATTTTGTAGAGTTATCGAAAACTTTGACGAAAAAACACATATAAAAAATATTTATTCGTTCATCTCAGTAGAAAAAGAAAAGGAAAAACAGCGAGGTCTAGGCTATGAATTCTAGTGATGCTTTGTTATCTTTTTCGTTTTTGCAAAGGTTATTTTTTTCCTTCAATCTCAACTATATTTCTTCTCACGAAACAGAGAGAGAACAGGGAAGGAGGAGAAAGAATTGAAAATCCTACAAGTATTACAGAAGAGAAGAGGGAAAAAGTAAACAGAAACTCAATAGCTGGAGCTAATTCTTCTCAAACATGGACATCTCTACCACTTTTCCCCTTCAATCGACAGCTGCACCTTTTAGCTTTACTAAGGGCTGTTCATTTTGTAGATCACACTCGAATAAGTTAAATTTGAGTGTGAAATTAAATTGAGTTATGTATTTATTAAACGCAATTTAAATTTTAGACTCAAATAATAACTCGAGTTTGTGAGTTTCACCCGTCTCTTATTTTTTTATTACTCAAGTTTAATTTTACAGTGTAGATTATTTTTATAAAAAAAAGACACTTCTTTGTAATTGAAGTTTAACTTTAATACAAGTGAATATGAAACTCAAATTTTAAATGTTAAATTAATCTCCTCCTAAACACTTCACTCAGAGTCTAAATTAAACTCAAATCAAAATACTCGTTCACTTCGCTGATTCGAATTTAGAATTCGAGTTGAGATGTGATTTTATGTGAGAGCTTTTTACTGTAGCAAAAAAGTTAAATGTGATTGTTTATGAGAGCTTTTTACTGTAGAAAAATTTGAATTTTAAACTCGAATCAGTGAAGTGAACGGGGAAATCAGAACGAGTTTTTGGCTTTTTCAAACTATGAAAAGTCATATATATCCTTGATCGGAGTACAAAATGCATCCAAATGGGAACAATATTTTGCTTTTAAATTATAAAATGTCGTATATGTCCTCAGTTGAAGTACCAAAACTTATGAAGAGGCATCCCCTCCTCAGTAGTACTTACAGGATTTGTCATTTGTGAGGGTGTTCATAGGGCTTCGTCGGTTTTTTAGGGTTGTTCGGTTCGCTAATTCGAGTTTTTAATTTCAACATAAAAATATTAACATTACAAAGTTTTTTTTATCATAATATGAGATTTTTTCTGGTACTCCACCCTTTTTTAATTACCCGTAGTCCACAAATTTATCCAGCATTAATATGTAAGTGAAAGAAGTAAAATAATTTTTTTTACATATTATTTAGTACAAGAGAAAGAAAAGTGAAAAAAAATATATTAAATATAAGATATTTTACAATAATATCTTAATACAAATAAAAATATGATGAATTGTAAAGATTAAAATTGTTATTTTACACATTATTTATTTGTCAAATTTTTTTCATCATCTTTTCTTCTCAAAATTAGAAGGATTAAAAATTAGTGGGCTCTATAAATTTTTATTTTTCTTTCTTCCCCATTTCTATTCTACTAAAAAATCTAAAATTTCATTTTCCACTCTAAACTCTTTCCTCTAATTTCTTTCATTTTTATTTTCTACCATACCAAATACACTGTAAAATAATTTCAATATTGTTCTTTTAATTTGAGATTGGTTGACAACTTGAGAAAATTTAAGTTTGTTTGGTTCATAAATTTAAACATAAAAATCTAAATAAAAATTTAAATTTTATAAAAAAATACTATAATAAAAGAATTTAACAATAATTCAAACCTATAAAATAAATAGAGACAAAATTATTCTCCACGTGGACAAACACGTGGCCAACTAGTTTTCAAAAGTAAACGAGAAGTTGGCTTAAAAAAAAATACAAACACCCCTTTACATATTTTTCTTTCCCTTTCATTCCGTTTTTTTTTTTCCTTTTTCTTTTCCCCACATTTTACATTACACCCCTAATCCGGTTCCTATTCTAAAAGCCAGCGACCAAAAAGCTTATTTTTTTTTTTTGAGTAAAACTCAAAAATTTTTTGAAATTAAGTTATAATTTTATTTAAATTTATATTCATTTGTAAAATTTAAGTTTGAATTTGAGTTTGAAATTAAAATTTGGGTTCAAGTTTCTTTTTCAATTTAAGTTTTTAAACTCAAATTCAAGTTAGTAAATAATATTTTTTTATTTTTAAAAATGTCATAATTTTTTCGTTTTAATTATGATTGAGATGATTTTTTTTATGCGTTCACAACGAAGAGACGAATAAAACCTCACCTATATAATCTATTAAAAATTTTCATCACCATTGAATTTTTATTAAAATATTACCTAAATATAAATTTAAGTTTTGACCCATTTAAATATAAACTCAAATAGATTCTCAATTTAAATCATAACTCAAATGTCCACATCTAAATATAAATTTAAGTTATAATTTTAACTCAAATTTAATTTAAAATTTATACTCAAATTACCGTAACTCAAAAATATAACCGAGAAACACAATCTTTTATCTATACATGAAGACGACAAGCCGTTGACATATATTTAGAGGGAAAAACTAGATGTCGTTTCTCAGACGCCCGCGAAAGGCCCAAGGCGCGAAACTGCGAAAACCTCTTTCGAAAAAACGCTTTCTTTTCCCATTTTTGGAGCCAAACCAAACCCGCCCTTACTTTTGGCGGGAGACCCAATAAGAAAACAAGAAAACCCATTTATTTATCAAATTTTTTTTTTCTTTTTCCATTTCTCCATCTCCTTCTTCTTCCTCCTTCATTTCCACTTTGTCTCTGTTAGGGTTTCTGATCAGATTCAAATTCTTCCGGAGTTTCTTCTTCCGAATCCCTACTTTCTTTCTTTAGGATTTCTCTGATACGGTTCTTCAGAGAAGTTTCATTTCATTTCTCTAAGATTTGTTTTCTTTTTCCATTTCCTCAGTTGCTTTCTGTTAGGGTTTCTAATCAAGCAAAATCTCCGAATTTCGCTTTCGAAACCCTAATCTTTTTCACCATGGAGTGCGAGGTGGTGAAAATCGACGGCGCTCCTGACCCAAATGGCCAGAAGACGAACGGTCCGGATCAACCGGGAAAGAGCCAGAAGCGCAAAAGGTCGGCGAGTCTTATACCGGAAGTTTTGGGCGCAACAACAGAAGAAAAAGAGGCTCGGATCGTGGCGCTTCGTACGGAGCTTGAGGGTTTGTTCGGGTTCTACAAGGAAGTGACGGGAAAGAAAGCGGTGGATTTGGATATCATGACGGCCATGCAGTGCCGTAGCGGGGCGAATGCGTTGGTGGCAGCGTTGATGGAGGAGAGTGATCTTCCGCTGTCGAAGCTTGTGGAGGAGATTCATGGCGAGGTGGCGAAGGCGAAGGAGAAGGGGGTTTGTTGTGAGGGTTTGCTGACGGTGGCATCGGTGAAGAGTACGGTTGTGTTTGTTGGGCAGAGGGTGATGTACGGCGTTTCCAATGCCGATGCCGATGTCTTGGAGGACGATTCCCATTCTTGTCTTTGGTGTTGGGAGGTGATTCTTTATCCAAATTTGGGTTTTGTTCAGTGTTAATTTTTAATTTTTGTTGTTAATTTACTTAATGGGAATTCAATTGCTTGGAATGTGCCTTTTATTTGAAGAGGGCTTAAAATTCGGGTCAATTTAATTTTTGTTAATGCACACTGTTAATTGTAATTATAATGCGCGTCTAAAATCTAGTTTCTGTTATGTTTTTGTTTTATTAGTTTTCCTTGTCTGTCAGAAATGGATTTTTTTTTAATTTTGGTTTTTGTTAGTTTATTCACTATGTTTACTGGGAATTTCTTGGAATAATGTGCCTTTTAATTGAATGAGCTTAAAAATCGTTGTTGGATCAATTTAATTATTGTACTTGAATATTTTTTTAATCTTTTGTTTTAACTTGAATGGATTGATAAGAATTTAAGTATAAGCGAAGAAAAATAGTTCATTTTCTTAATTTTTCCGTGTCCATTTAATCAGTTGCGTTAAGTACTTGATGGGAAGATTCTACTTTTTAACATGCAAGTTTTCCTTCAGTATTGTATTAAGCCTCTTTTAAGTTAACCATATTGTTTACCGTATGTTTATCGAAATTGTTCTTTTTCCTTATAATTTTAGTTTTCATTGTTGATTGATTCACCGTGCTTAATGTGAATTGCGTACATGATTCTCTTAATTGAATGGACTTAAAATTTAATTAAATGGGCTTAAAAATCCTTGTGGGTTAATTAATTTTTGTTAAGGTGTGATTGTGATTGTAATTAAATGCTTTGTTATCTAATATTCTAGTTTTTACTTTTTTATTTTTTATTTTTTTAATACGGTGTGGGGCCTGCTAATCATTAATCACGGCCATCGTTGGTTTTTCTGTTTTCAGATTTGTTTTGTAACTTTTTCTTTATTGGATATTTCTGAAATAAAGTCTTCATTCATGATATTCTTTCTTTAGGGCATGCTTGCTTGTTTAATTGTATACTTATCTTGTCTTTTTAATTCAAATTCCTTTGCTGGTAATGTGTTACTTATGTATAGTTAAGTAATAAATTTGTTTGCTGATTGCATAGACAAGGGACTTAAAGTTGTTGCCACAATCTGTGCGTGGAGTATTGAATATTCGGCGCACTTGTCGGAAAAGGATTCATGAGAGGATAACTGCTGTTTCTGGTAGGCTTGCCTCCTTTGCGGCTTTGCCTTATGGATGGTTCTAATTCTTCATCATACTTCAACTTTGTTTGATGGTTATCCAGAAAAAAACATAAGGAACAGTCAGCCTTGTTTAATCCTGTATGTTGCTTTTGTGCGTAATTAATTTTGCAGATTGCTCTGCTTTTCTTAGCCTTCTTTGTGGTTTATTATCTTCTACATGGATGTTGCCTAACCAGCTGTTTCTCAGTCAATACATGCAGTTATCGTCAGAGCCTTAAGAATATGTTGGGAGGATTTTATTTAAATCATATGGCAGTAATAATATAACAATAATAAAACTGGGGAGAAGATATTTCTCATGCAGGGAAAAAAATAAAACGAAAGTGTGCCATTGATGGCGAGGAGTTATGTGTGTTGTGGACCATCTCTGCGTAGATGGCTTGATGTACTTTGTCTCTTAATCAATTACGATAGATTTGGTCCTTTTGACACCTTAGTTTTATTTATAAGGTCTGTTTCTTTTAACACCTTATGCACAAGATACACCCTTGACTTATGCTCACTTAAAATCTTCTCCCTAGAGCTAAAAGCTCTGAAAAATTAGAAAATAAAACCTTTATCATATTAGTAATTTAATTAGCACAGGAACTGAATGGGGAAAAAAAAGAGGTGCACATTCTTCCCTTTTATTTTGACTTGTGGTTAATGTTAGAGGACCAGAGGTACTGATAATTGAAGAAAATATAACTATGTGTGAACATGCACACACAAACATATTCATGCATGGATACATATGTATATACGGATGTACGTCTCTGGTCTGCAGATCCAATATGAAAGAATTGGAATTTAGTTGGTGGCTTATCACTAGCCATTTTGGACTCAGATCTGCTCTTCTGGATGTTTTGAGTCGATTATAATTCTGTTTTTTATTCAAAAGAAGCTTTAGCTTTAGAATGCTTGTCCTTATTTTGGCATATTGTGTCTGGCAAATTTTATGGTTTCTTCTTTATATCACAATTTCTTTTCAAGATTACCATGCAACCTTTTAAGCTCGGAGGAGTAGAAGATCCCTATTATTGAAATGCACAAAAGCCTTATCAGTTGACCTTCTAGAAGAAAAATAGAATTCCAAAGTTCTTGGGCAAATTCTATTTTCCATTTCTTTTGATATTATATGCAACTGTTTGTTGTTATTTATCAGTCAGTACCTGTCCATGAATTCTTCTCAGCTGCTAGATTTATCAATTGTCTCACTTTTGCCCAAGACTGAACCACATGTTCATTCCAGAAGAGTAGTCATGCACCTTTAGTTATAGAATTTTCCTAGAAATTTATCTGATCTTTTTTCGTTAAGTGCTTTTTTTCCTCGTGTTTTTAGAAATGATTTCGAGTTGGGATTAAGGCATGTTGTTGTTGTTGTTGTTGTTTAGAAATGATTGCGGCATTACAAAAGTCAGAGGGTGATCATAATTACAAACATGACCTGAGAAAGGCATCAGACAAGCTTGGTAAAGCACATAATGAGGCAGACATTCGTCTGTTAGTTGAAGGCCTGATGCAAAAAAATGGTGCAAACCAGTATGTATCTAAAGTGACCTTCTGTTCTGATGTTTATGGTTCTTTCTATAATTTTTTTCCCCTTTCAAAATTTTTAGGGTTGAAAAGGAAGCAAAAAGAGAAGAGAAATTGCTTACCAAACAACTGGAGAGAGACAAACGAGAAGCTGAAAAGGAGAAAAAAAGATTGGAAATGAAGGTTCTAAAGGAAAAGTTACAGAGTGTAAGTGCAGCTCTTTTAATCTTGTTAATGTTTTGACGGGGGTATGCTTTGTTTATGAGGCTCTCAGTGAGGCAATGGATATTTGCGATTGTGACTATGAATATTTACTGAGAACAGTGTTTATTGTTTTTCTCTACTTTATCCTTTATTCAATTCATGTGGATGGAAGTTGTTAAATTTTGTATTAATAAAAAAATCTTAGTTCTCTTATCATAATATGGACATATATTTTAGGAAAAGGAGCAAAAGAGGCTGCAAGAGGAGGCAGAAAAGGATGAAAGGCGTCGTGAGAGAGAGGAGTCCGAGACTAGGAGACAGTTAAGGAAGCAACAAGAAGAAGCTGAGAAAGATCGAAAGCGTCGGGAAAAGGAAGAAACGGAGCTGAAAAAGCAACTTTCTATCAAGAAGCAAGCTTCAATTATGGAACGTTTTATTAAGAGAAGTAAAACCACTCCAATTCAGAGTACTCACCAGTCTTCCACCAAAGAAACTACGAATGGTTCATTGAGTAAAGGGTGTGGAAAACTGCCCAATGCAGTTACGCAGTCAATGGACTGTACTCTTTCGTCAAGTGAAGATATTAGTGTTGAGGATATCACCAAGTATGTTTCCCTGTCCTTTTTCTCTTTTCTGCTAACTCAATCTTGTAAGCTTCTTAAATCAGTTTACAAAGTTTTGCGGTACTTTGCAGGTCACACTTGGCTGCTTGGCGCTGCTTGGGTAGGTCTATTCGTTCAAACAGAAACCAGCATTGGGGTTTGCGTCGAAAGCCCAAGTCCAAACTATTCAAGGAACTTAAGCTCACCACAAGTAGGCCTAGTATTGTGGTGATAGATGAGCTGAATGAAGAGAAACATGTAGATGGGTGTGGAGAATGTGTTTCGGATGATAGATCATGTCGGACTAATGCTAGTTGTTCTGTTGCTGATGTCAAGAAGTTGACTCGGGCCAAGCAGTTGCTGCAGTTTGACAAGAGTTTCAGACCTGCTTTTTATGGTATATGGCCCAAGAAAAGGTGAAGTCATGGTCCATGTATTGGAGTTGTCTATGATTTGATCTTGATCAAATGAGAAAAAGCATAATTGTCTTAAAAAATAGGATCTTTAAATGAAGTTCTGAACCATTATCTGTGATCTTTCCTCAGTCATGTCGTTGGTCCACGCCACCCTTTAAGGAAGGATCCTGATTTGGATTATGACATCGATAGTGATGAAGAGTGGGAAGAGGTAACGTCCTGTTTTAGTTTTCTTTTCTTTTCTTTTTCCTCTCATACGCATCTATATGTTAGTTTACACAGGAAAGATCTCTAATATCGACAAGTTTGTCTCCAGGAGGAGCCTGGTGAAAGCCTTTCGGATTGCGATAAAGACGATGAAGATGAAAGTTTACAGGATGGATGTTCAAAAGCTGATGATGAAGATGAAAGTGAAGATGGATTTTTTGTACCTGATGGATATCTTTCAGAAAATGAGGTGAAATTTTTTCTCTGTTCATTTCATAGGTTTGAAACTCAATTCAAACATTTTTCTATAGTGTTTTCTCTCACAAAAATTTGAAGTTTTGTTCAAACCTCTGAACTAAATGGGCCATAGATGTTCAGTTCCTGATCTGCAGTTCGTTAACCCTTTTAGATTTGTAAATGTCAGCTAAAGCGACTTTTCCATCTAATGTTTGAATTTCTTGAGCTGTTTTTGGCCAATAAAGGCTTCTTTTCTTCCATCATGCTTCCTAAACTCGTCTTCTTTTGTTTCTGCCTAAAAACAAGAAATGTTCAAGGTCCTGAATATTTGTGTCCTAATTCACGAGTGAATTTTTGTTAGGTACTAACACAGATTAACAAATTAACAATAGACACAGAGGAAATAACTTGAAAATGGGTCAAGCTCCTTTTATTTATCTCACATGCATCTTTCGTATGAGAGGAATTCCATTCATAGAGAAGCAAGAAAATAGCAGAGAACAATGGAGAATTCAAGGTTCCCCTTCCTCCCAACGGTCTGCTAACAGTATTTTTCAACTCAACAGACAACCCTTTCCCATGCTACTCCACTTCCTAAATATTCCCTCTGCTAACAAACTCATAACCAACTTGACACCTTAGCTCCCCTTTTCCATATTTCCACTTCCTACCCCATTTTCCTGTAAAATCCCTCTGCAACTGTGCAACCTGCATCTGATATTGTATTTTCCTGTTTCAACTTAATAGCGAATTTGTTATATCATGATTGTAAGGCAATGAAAAAGGAATTAAGGATGAACCGTATCAAAGAATGTAGGATGAACATGGTTTAGCTTTGAATTCAGTGGTTTAGCTAATCGTTGCGGGACTAAGATCTACCTGTGTTTAAATGTGTCTAAAGCTTTGTTGCTAGGAAACTACTTAAGTCAATTTTGTTAATTATTGATCTTATAACATATTAAAGTGACTTAAAGTGTTCACTTGAGAAATTTGTGTGATGCATTCAGGGAGTACAAGTTGACAGAATGGAAACTGATATCACAGCTGAGGAGGCCAAAAGCTCACCTGGTTTGGAAAGTGAGGAGTTCTGTGCTTTGCTCCGGCAGCAAAAGTGTTTGAGCAACTTGACAGATCACGCTCTCCGGAAAAATCAGCCTTTAATTATTTCCAACTTGATGCATGAGAAGGCCTTTTTGTTAATTTCTGAAGGTCTTTCGGGTACTCCTAAGCTGGAACAGATGTGCTTGCGAGCTCTAAGTATGTGTTTATTCCCTGGGAGCTCACCCGTAGAGATCTCACTTGATAATGTAGCAGAGATTGATCAAGAAGCTTGCACATCCAGTGGCAATGATAGTACCACACCAACCTCAACTACAATCGTCACACCAGAGTTAGATTTGCATAAGCTTGTAAGTTGTTTCTTATTATTCTTGGTTTGCTGAATAGAAATAAACCTCCTGAGTTTTCCTGTGGCATTGCAATGTAACTAGGCTTTGTTGGTTTTTAATTGGTTTTAAGAGCTAATTTGCAATTTTTCAGGTGTCTGCTATTCAGTCTTGCCCACAGGGTATCCATAAATTAGCTGAAAGTTTACAACAGAAGTTCCCTGCTTTCTCGAAGTCTCAGTTAAGGAATAAAGTGCGGGCAATCTCAGATTACGCAGATAATCGTTGGCAGGTTAGAGACTTGTTTCAAATTTTTGCTATCCATATGATGGGACTGCTCTCTCTCTCTCTCTCTCTCTCTCACTTTTGAAATAGATCCGTGCCATATTTCCCCTATTTTCGGTTGTGCATGTGAGGGCAAGTTTTTTGGTTGATTAAGATCTTTTCATTTGTGATATAGGTCAAGAAAGAAGTGTTGGAAAAACTTGGCTTGACAATATCCCCAGGTGGTCATCATCATAAATTATCATTTGTACTGACCCCACCAAATATTACATTGTTTTCTAAGGAGTAATAATACCTTACTAACAGCATACATTGTCTGTTTATTAGCAGAAAAGAGTTCCGGGCGTACCAAAAACATTGCCGCCTTTTTTTCAAAAAGGTGTATGCCACCTTCTGGTAAAAGCATTAACTCGAATGAAAGCTCTCCACAGCCATCTCGGAAATCCAGTTCTTCTGTTGCGGGCCAATAGATCTGCACATACAACTGAAACCCACATGGTTCTCACATGTCGAAAACAAAGTTTCGCTGGTAAAAGTAAAGTATCTAATAGCTTTCTGGTTTTCTTTTGCCAGATTCTCCTGTTTTTGGCCCATGTTTTCGACGGCATGGATTTTACCAGATCTCCAGATAACCCCAATCATACAATGATTGACCCGTGGCCAACCAATATTTTTTTGAATAGATGATAGAATTGTAATGGGGTCTAAGTCTGTTAACCGGTGCTCAAAATAATATCAGTAAGCTTAATATTTTGCTCTCTCATGTATACTGTTTGTTATAGAAAGATGTAAAAGTTGTATCTTGGGTTTCACCAAATCATTTGATTTTGAAATCAGCAGCTGCTTATGGACTTCTAAAACAAAACTAGGCAAAGAACAAAGTTCACGTGTGCCTCACACGTGCATGGTTAGTGGCTCGGATGGGTGAAAAGGAAGAGAGTAGAAAATTTTGCACAGAAAATAGCGAAAAATAACTTGATCATATCTATGATGTATGAAGTGTGTGGATTGTATTTGTATGGGAGTGGAAAGTAAAACAGAGTTTTCGTATATTTTGCATGGATATATGGATGTGTGGCTTTGTGTAACGCACCCTTGGTTTGATATGGTTTGTTCGGCTGCTGTGTTGGCCGAAAATTGCCCTTCGAATTTGGGATTGTCATCTTTAAAAAGTTGACAATTTTTCGAAAACTCTCGAGATATGGGGCCAAAATCAAATGACAAATTGATGCGTTCAGGTTCAGCGAGGTAAAACGACCTTCATAGGCCACGCTTCAGTTTTTAATTTTTTGTAGGAATTTGATATTAGGAAATTGGTGATGTTTAGGGACATTCAACTCCTTAAAAAAAAAAAAAAAATATATATATATATATATATTGTTAAATAACATAAATTCATCCCAATGCTCTATTCTTGTTGCATGTTAATAATTGTTTTTTCAGGAAAAGAAAATACCTTGTTCTTGTCGGCTATCTTCTTCTTCTTTTTTTTTTTTTTTTTTTTTTTTTTTTTTTTTTTAAAAAAACGGTTTTTTTTTTTTTTTTTTTTTTTTTTTCAAAAAATCGGCTTTCATTGTTTGCTATGAGCCGATGATGCTTCTGCCCTTGGATTGGTCAAATATTAGCGTTACAATAATCATGTTAGAAAAAAAAAAAAAACAGAGAATGAAGTAAAATATTGGATTTGAAAGCTGCGTTTGGTGGGGTCATCAGTTCTTGTATGTATGGGATTTTTTGCCGTTTTTGGGAGAAAGAGAAAAATAGGTCAAGACTTAAGATGAATTAAAATTAATAGGTCAATAGTTTACATAAGTTAATAAATAAGTCAAATTATTATTTTTGTCCATAATTTGTTTAGTTATGAATCATAACTGGATAAATTATTGTCCATAATTCACGGTTTTTGTTCATAACTTATCTGGCTATGAATCATAACTTAATAAGTTTGTCCATAATTTATTTGGTTATGAACCATAACTTAACAAATTATGGCTTATTAATTTTTATAATTAAAAATTGGTTTATATAATTTTTTAAGCTTTTCATATCGGTCTATTTCTTACTATTTTCCTTTTTTTTAAGGACTCAGGTTTGGTTTGGTGTCTACTGCAAGCACATGGCGAATCTCACCATAAATTAAAATTAAGATATTTTCCGACGAATCTCGTGTAATATACAATATATTATTTTTAATTTCAAAAATGGCTTTTTAAAAAAAAAATAATAACAAATGATAAGGTTTGAAATTAATTATTAGTAAATAGCAGATTTTATATTAAAGAAAAAAATAAAAATTCAGCAAATAATAGGGCATTTTAGAAATTCTCTCTCCTTTTGTTTTCTGTAAACTATGCTATTAATGTATATATGCCAAAATTAAATTTTTTTCTTCAAAAGGCATTATTTCTCATTTGCCTTCTTAAATTTTAGCACTCAGGCTTACGTTTTCTTTTTCTTTTTTTTTTTCACTGTATTTCAATCTAGTAATCTAACATTCTTCCTTAAATTACCAAATGTAGAGTATTGCTATTGTTATAAGGGATTTTCTTGTGAAATGTACGGTGCACAAAGCAACAAAAATCTTGCCAGCTAATGCCACAATCAAAGATGAGAAAATATGCATTTTAATGGTAACAAAAGGCATCCTAAATTGATTAGCAAAAAAAAAAAAAAAGCATCCTAAATTTAGATATCCTTGTACAAATTTTGTCAATGAACTGGTTTACTTAAAAATGGTTTTTCTTCTACTTGTGGTTGTTGTTATCACTAATAAAACTCAAAATTTGGTCTAGTTGGAGTTAGGTTATGACTCTTATTTGCTTGAAATCATGAAATCTTTCAAAACTAAAAAAATTTGAGATCACTACACCGAAATTAATACATAAAATAATAATTTTAAAACCCACCCCAAAATCAATATAAATTTGAATACATATTTATTAAAACTGGTAATTTACCAATCCATCCCAAACGCTTAAGCTATTATGAGGTGGGCCAACAATAGTTTTATATTTTAACACTCTCCTCACGTGTGGGCTGAACAATAGGCAACCCGTGTGGGTAAATTAATTAGAAAGCCCAATACGTGAATATTTAAGTATAAGATATATTAAAGACCCAATACATGATAATTTTAAATGAGGATAAAGAGTGCAATTACGAGAGTTTGAACTCAGAACATTCCGCTATGATACTATGTTCGTTTATCAATTTATTCTAAAAGCTTAACTTGTTAGAAGGTGAGCCAACAATAGTTTTATACTTAAACAAAAACAAAAAACAAAAAAATTAAGTCCAAAGTGGAAGGAGAATCCAAGAGATATAAACAAGGAAGAAAGAGGGAAAAAGATCTTAATTTATGAGTCTTGCTCTTTTTATTTTTATTTTTATTTTGCAACGAATGACTCTTGCTTTCAAAACATAGTAAAGAAGAATGTGAACAAATAAGAGCTTGTCCTTCTCCAACTATGATTTTAGGATGCTAATCAAAATTAGCCGCCTAATCAAAATTGTTCTCCAATTTCGATAGTGGCAATGATGTAAATAACATTGAAAAGCAGTGGCATATTGGAAAGCACTCTAGCTTCATGATTTAAGATACTAATCAAAATTTGCCGTCTTACATCACAGTGGGAATTAAATTTTACCGTCTTAAGAGACTTAAGGTTCTGTTTATTTCGCTGATTCGAGTTTAGAATTCGAGTTGAGATGTGATTTTATGTGAGAGTTTTTTACTGTAGTAAAAAAATTAGATGTGATTATTTATGAGAGTTTTTTACTGTAGAAAAACTCGAATTCTAAACTCGAATCAGCGAAATGAATATTGCCTAAATATTACATATAGGAATAAAATCCAAGAAAAAGAATGGTGGCAATAATGTAAATAACATAGAAAACCAGTGGCATATTGGAAAGCAATCGTTAATGAGAAAAAAGTTTTTGCCAGAAAGGACAAATAGATTTTTTTCTTTTCTTTTCCCCGTGGGGGATTAAAAATTGCCGTCTAAAAAAAAAAAAAAAAAAAAATTAAATTGACAATACTGTAAATAAGCTAAAAACTAGTGGCTTGTTGGAAATCAGGCCTTTTTAATGTTAACTTCCGTTCTTTCCCTCTCTCTCCCTCGCCCAACAAACAAATATTTGCCCCCCTCTCTCTCTCTCCTCTCTTGCGAGTGTGTCTCTGCGGAACTCCATTTTCCTTTGTTGGGTTTTCACAGACATTCCTCAAATTCATCGATTTGAAGAGAAAAATATTACCCAGAAAAAAAAAAGTAGAAAAAGAAGAAAGAAAGACAAAAAATGGCTCTTCTCAGACTCGGCTCAGTGATGACGTTCCCATCATCGTCTTCTAATAAACCCTTTCTCAATTGCAGATCTCCCACAATCTCCATGGCTTCAACTCTCCACTCCGTTCCCAAGTTAGTCTCTTTCTCTCTCTTTCTTTTTCATGGGTTTGCTAGATTTCTTTGTTCTTTTGGCATATTAATTTGTAGCTGTTTTATTGATCTGGGTCATTGGTGTTTTATCCTTTATTTTGCTATATCTGGACTCAAATTGTTTGATTTCAATGTTCATCATGTATATGTATACACATTTTTGAAGGGGTTATTTTTTCATCTTCCTTTATTCTAATCTAATTTCCATTGTGTTTCATTTGGACAAATCTATGACATAATTATTTTATCTTTGTATTTAGCTCTGCATGTTGGTTGATGTACATGTGGTGCATGTCAGTTTCTGATGACGATGCCATGCATGGATTTCTTTTCTTTAATTTTTGTCATTCAATTTTATGTTTATTTCGATATGGGTGTTTTTTCTTTCCTTTTGTATTTAATTCTCATGATGGTTGGTCTCTGACCTAACTTTGAGTTTTCTATTTGGTTTATTCTCTGCATGCAGAGAAATTTCAATTTAATGTCGGTTACAAAAATGTATAGATATATATTTTCTTCTTTTTAAAAGTTTATTATGATAATCACTTGTTTATTGTGTTTATTTTTGGGTTCTTTCTCTTGTTTTTTTAGGGTGTTGACTACTCATAATCTTTTTAGTGGATTTTCTGGATCTGATTTGAGATTTGCATGTGGAGTTTTATGTTTGTATGCATTTCTCATTAGTTGAGAATTAGGTATGATTTTTTTTTTTGGTTGTTGGTTGTGTTTATTTTTATTTTCCCCTAATTTTTTTTGGAGACAAACTAATATAATAATGGTTTTCCCTGTTTCATTGTCACATTGTGTATCTATGTAGTGGGGCATAAAGCATTAATATGTTCTTAAAATTGTTCCACTTAGTTGATCCTTTTTTTTTTTAAAGATTTTTTCACGTTCTTGTTTCACATTAGTTGATCCTTTTTTTTAAAGATTTTTTTCACGTTCTTGTTTCACATTAGTTGATCTATTGCATCCTTTCCAGTTTTTGTTTTCAAGTTTTAGTATTTTCTTTTGTTAAAGTTTTTGATAATCTTGCTGAGTGTTTCTACTCATGTGAATGCGACTGCTATATTATAATAACTCTCCCTCTCATTTTCAGTTAGTTAAACCATATTTTCTTTTTTATTTTCCATGAACATGATCTTTTCCCCTGTTGTTTAGCTCAGTTTTTGTTGTGCGCTTGATGAGCAATAATTACATATTTTTATACCTGAAATGTTGGACTATAGTTCTCATCTTCACAGATTTGGTAGCTTCGTCTTTGACTAACTATTTTTTGTCTGGTGGTGGTAGTTGGTCAAGTTTGGTCTTGTTTCTTCTTTGGTGGGTATACTTAGATACGAGAAAACTTGTAAACAAAATCTATCTCCCTCTTTTTATTCTTTTTATATTGCAAAACCAATCATTTGCTAGACTCATGTGCTACCCTGTCCTCCTATGAAACAATTTTTATAATTCTGACCAATGATTTGGTTTTCTTTTTTCGTGATTTATTTTTGTTTTCCCATTTTCGGTTGGCTACCATATCTATTACTTGAATTGCTAAATGACTATTCTGTGCAAGAATACCAATTAGTGTTTTCCATCTGAAAACTTGACCATTGAACTTACTCTCTTAAATAATGCAGTCATTCACTAGAGACTTGCATTGTTTTGTTTGTATTATCAGTCAAGTTACTAGCTTGCTTTAGAAGTTGTATCCTAAAAGACTTCACATGTTGCTAGTTACTGATTCATTTACACTGCAGAGTATATTTTTCCCCAGAAAAACCAATCATAATTTGGTTTGGGACCTTCGGGTAGTTTAAGTAAATAGTTGAGTGTATAGACCTGTGTGTGTCTTATTAAACATAATCCTATAGGGAAAATAAAAGTAAAAATTATATCTGAAGTTAGGTAGGACTCAATACTCAATGTGTCCCTTTAAAATCTATCATTGAACTTTGTGTATAATGTCAGAAACTAGGGGATAAGGGGAGAAAAGATGGGGAAAAAAAATCCTTGAGTGTGGGATTCACAACTCAAATTGTTAACTAATTTAACATTAGATGATAGTTCCTGGCTTTTTGTCGGTCCTTAATGCTACTGTTCACGGTTCAAGTTTATGTATAATAACTCTTAAAACATTCATTTTATATGTGTACATATTTCTGACTCTTTTTTCCTGTTGTAGGGAGACAGAAAATTTGAAGAAGCCCTGTTTGCCCCCAAGGGAGGTTCATCTTCAAGTAACACATTCCTTGCCCCCTCAAAAAGTTGAGCTTTTCAAGTCATTGGATGAATGGGCCGAAGACAACATTCTGGTGCACTTAAAACCGGTGGAGAAGTGTTGGCAGCCGCAGGACTTTCTTCCAGATCCGGAGTCCGACGGGTTTTACGATCAAGTAAAGGAGTTGAGAGAAAGGGCAAAAGCAATCCCCGACGACTACTTTGTAGTTTTAGTCGGGGATATGATAACTGAAGAAGCTCTCCCAACCTACCAAACTATGCTCAATACCCTTGATGGGGTTCGAGACGAGACTGGTGCAAGCCTTACTTCGTGGGCAATATGGAATAGGGCATGGACTGCCGAGGAGAATAGGCATGGAGACCTTCTCAACAAGTATCTTTATCTATCTGGACGAGTAGACATGAAGCAAATTGAGAAGACTATTCAATACCTTATTGGGTCAGGAATGGTGAGAGCTTGCTTAATCTTTTTCACTCCTTGCTTTCTCAGTTTTACTTGTTTTTCACTACTTACTATTTAGTGGCAATAATCTGGATAGTTTTTCAAAGCTATATAATAGGGAAAGATGGAAAAAGAGTCCAAAATGAACCATGTTTAAGCCACTAGCATCTTGGATCTCTTGATCTTGTTAGAAAGATTTTCCTTTAGAATTTGTTTGGAGAAGTTCTTGCATTTGCTAGAGAGTATATGTGACGCTTAAGAACTGGTGCTAGTCCTGTAAAATTTTTGAAGGAAAGTCTTCTGTTGCTTCGTATTCATTTCATTAGCCTCCTTGTTGATTGTTCCTTCGTGTTAAAAGCTTTGTCTCCTTTAGGTAAACCAATAGAATAACTAATATGTAACCGGAACAGGACTGTCATTGTCTAATTTAAAAGTATTAACATATTTGCTTGATCACGGCAGTCTCCATTGCCCTGCCTTTGCATCAATTTCTTGTTGTCAATAAATGGTTCTTTTCAATAATCTCTAATCAAGTATGATGACAAACTGGGGCAAAATTACTGCTTTGGGACGTACAAATTATTTGTTTGTCAACTAAGCAAGTGATTTTTAAATTTGTTAACGTTATATATGTTGTTACTTATCATGTTTTAGGTCAGTCCTTTGTTCTTAGCTTTGTTTCTTCTTCTTCTTATTTTTTGCTAGGACCCCAAAACGGAAAACAACCCGTACCTCGGTTTCATCTACACCTCTTTCCAAGAGAGGGCAACGTTCATCTCCCATGGGAATACAGCCCGACAAGCCAAGGAGCACGGGGACCTGAAGCTGGCGCAGATATGCGGCACCATTGCTGCAGACGAAAAGCGCCATGAAACTGCCTACACAAAGATAGTAGAGAAGCTCTTTGAGATTGACCCAGACGGCACCGTCATGGCTTTAGCCGACATGATGAAGAAGAAGATATCCATGCCAGCCCACTTGATGTACGATGGCAAGGATGACAACCTCTTTGAGCATTTCTCTGCTGTTGCCCAGCGGCTCGGAGTTTATACCGTGAGGGACTATGCTGATATCCTGGAGTTTCTGGTGGGGAGATGGAAAATAGAGAAATTGACCGGCCTTTCCGGCGAGGGGCAGAGAGCGCAAGATTTCGTGTGTGGATTGCCACCAAGGATTAGGAAATTGGAAGAGAGGGCCCAGGGAAGGGCCAAGCAAGCCTCATCAATTGTTCCCTTTAGCTGGATATTTGGCAGGGAAGTAAAGGTTTGAAGAAGTGTTGCTGGTTTTGGTCACAAATCAATCACCCTTTTACCTATCTCATATCACAAAGCAAACAATGGGTTTTTGTAGATACTGTCGTTGCTGCAGTCTTGAGTTGATCGCATTTAGATCAACTAGAAACAAAAAAGGAACTATATAGTTTGTGTGTCGTTTGTCTTCTGAAATTAGTAGAAACAATTGTTATTTTTATATCTTAGAAATGTGCAAGTTTTCTAGAGTTTGTTCCTCCCAATAATGAGTGAAATTTTCTATGAAAATGTGCAAAGTATGTGCTGAAAATGAAAGGAAAAAACGGTTTACTCAGGAATTGTCTTTCATCAGTTTTTTACGGAGATTATTTGCTGATTCTGCTTGAAGGATTTTGGATTCTTGCTTCATCATGGATCTCTTTTTTCGTTACAAAGGATATTTGCATTGAAGTAAAAATTGAGAATTAACACTTCTCTAATTAGAAAAAGCTGAGAAATGAACAAATCATTAATTAGATTTTTTCTCCAACATTTTTTAATTTTTTGGATTTTTTTTCAAAGATAATAAAAAACATCATATTTTTCCAGAATTGTTACTTTTGATACCCAAGAGAAGCTTCAAGAGAGTTACTTGCAGAAGTCGGTAAAAATTGCCGACATACTTCTTCAAGTTGGTTTGACTGATACACTGCAAATAAAATTCAAATTAACGACACTTTGGTTACTTCTTCAAGTTGGTTTGACTGATACACTGCAAATAAAATTCAAATTAACGACACTTTGGTGTGCACGTTAGTTGTTCTTTAACGTGGGAAATGATTTAATTACATCAATTTAATGACGTTGGCGACCATTATAATAAAATTAAAAAAATAAAAATTAAACTGTCACCTATTAAATGTGTGAGGTTAGGAATCCGTGTCAATAATTCTATAACAATAGAATAGTCATCTCATCAACATATATATAACGAATTGAACAAATAACCCAATAAGCAAAACGAAACATGAAAAAAAGAATGAAACAATACAATACACGCATATATAGAGATCTAATATATCACCATATCATGGATAGTGATGTCAATGAGACCCCAAAAAACGAAAAATAGTAAGAAAAAAAGTTCAAACTTGGAAAGGCCACGGCCAATCCTTCAAATCTTCCTCCTGCTGAAACTTCAAACCTTCCTCCTGCTTAACCTTGGCACTCCTTCTGACCACCATTGCCTTTCCATCTCCTCCTTCAACATAAGCATAATACTTCAAGAAGAAGGCAAGCGTCAAAACCACCCATTCTAAGCAAAATATCAACACACTCAATCCACCTCCCAATTTGAGTATCACAGCCCCATCCTCTTCCCTTACGTATGACTCAAGTTTCTCCAAGAAGCTCGACGTCCTCGTGAACACCAGCACCGACACCGACCCCTGGAAGATGGCCATCAGCACCGTCGCCACCATGTGGGTCCCGTACCACTTCCCGGTCCCCGCGGAGGCGGCCGCGCACCCCGAGACGGCCCCGACGATGGTGAGGACGTGGAGGAGGATGAGGAAGACGCCGCAGACGGAGGGGATGAGGCGGAGCGAGAGCATCAGGAAGATGCAGCTGGAGGCGGCGCCGAGGAGGATGTAGTTGCAGAAGAGGAAAGCCTTGTGGGTGTGGTAGTAGCGGGCATGAGGAGCATCATCTATGGGGAGACCCATGTCGGGAATTGCCAGAATTCGATCAAAAAATCGGGGAATTTCTTTGAGTTGGATTGGTTTTTGGAAGTGGGTATTGGAGATTTCTTCTTTTTTTTTTTTGTTGAGATTGGAATGAAAATGAGAGAAAATGGTGATGAGAGTGAATGGGTTTGGGGAGTGGAAGATATAGGGAGAGGTTTAACGGTTATATTTGCTGTAGAGAGGAATCTGACCGTTACGAGGAATATAATTTTCAATTTCACCAAATAATTATGAGTCCGTATCGGTTGTTGTAACGGCTAGTTTTTGCTTTTCTTTTTTTTTTTCTATTAAAAAAATAATAATAAATGAAGTGATGTGTTAGCTGTAAGGCATCTTGCTTTGTTACTGGTGACGTTCGTGTGAGCTTACACGACAGTCATATAAAACGACAACGATAACATAAAACGATTAACTATTGGGAAAACGACATCAATTAAGTGAACAAAACCGAGTGAAGGGTACGATTTTCTTGAGGAAATATTTTTATTTTTTTTATGTTGCCCATTTTTCATCGTCAGTAGTTTGACCTAATTTTCCCTCAAAACATTTTCTCGGGAAAATTCGAGAAAATAGCAAATTCGGGGCAATAATGTTTTGATCCGAGAAAGGCGATGAGCGGTACCGAATCTCCGAGCGCTGTTCGAAAAGGTGAGCCCCAAATCGAATTTCTTGATTCTAAAATTGGGAATTTTTGAGTTTGAGGTTGGTTTTGCAATTATTTAATTTTGGTTTTGGGCGTTCAAATTTGGGTGCAGTGGTTGTTCATCTGAGAGCCACAGGCGATGCTCCTATACTCAAGCAAGCCAAGTTCAAGGTTTTTTGTACTTCACGCTCTCTGAAATTTAGGGTTTTAATTGTTGCTGTGTTTATTTTTTTTCTATTTGCTCTGATTCTGATGATTATTTTGGGTTTCTGTAGTGGAAATTTAATCAAAGATTTAAAATTTTGTATGTAGTTGTAGTTGAATTATGCATTTCACTGACTTTCTGGAAGCTTGTCTTTTTTTTTTCTGAAGATTAGTATTAAGGTTTATGTAGTGTAAAAATTTTTACCCTTGATTTAAATTTGTTAGTACAATTGAACTGAATTGAATTCAATTCTGCATACGGGCTTTTGAGAGGTTTAGATGTATTTCCTGCAAAGAGATAACATTCTGATGTAGTAGTGTGAGTAATCAGATGTTGTTCCTGTATGGCAGATACCTGGAACTGACAAATTTGCAAAGGTTATTGATTTTCTAAGGCGACAACTTCACCGAGATACATTGGTAGATGATTTCTGTTATTTCTTCTGGTTGATTCTTTCTCTCCAAGTTTAAGAGGATTGATCTGTTTTTCATGGTTTTGTAGTTTGTGTATGTCAACAGCGCATTCTCCCCGAACCCTGATGAATCTGTCATCGACCTCTATAATGTATGTTCTTAGGGCCTCTTTTTCTGATCAATTGGTAGCAGATCTTGAGAAACAATCATGGAATTATTGTTAAAATACTATGAATTGATGGCCAAATGCATAGGGGAAACCTGTTATTCTTTCAAATGTGATACTTTCAAAGAATTGGTACTGAAAGAGTCCATATTGTAAAATATTTATGCTCTGTCGGACAACTGTTTCTCATAGAACACTTTCTGCAGTATCCTCCCACTGGACACTACCAATGCCCTTGTTCTCATACGTTTCAACTTTTTTGTCTGTTTGACTTCTCTGATTTTGTTTTGTTATGTTTTTTTTTTTTTTTCCTTTTATTTTGTTTTGTTTTTTTTTTTCCCCAGTTTATTCATGTGGTAATATATGATCCTTTTAAAAATAATTACATATGCTTATCACTTGAACAGCTGAACCTACAGCTGAATGCTTTATAGAACTGCATAAAACGGCTCTTGATTTTTTCTTTGCTTTCTATTCGTGAATCATTGTAGCGATGTTTTATAGATGATTGTGTATTTGGTATTGTATTTGCTTGTATCTATCTATCTATTTATAAATCTATATTTTTTAAAAGTACATTTTTAGCACTGACCTTTTTCCCTTTTTTCTTTTTTCTCTTTTTTTTTTGAATAGGTATTGACCCTTTTTTTTTTAAAAAAAATTTGTTAATGCTTTGATGTGCAGAATTTTGGTTTTGATGGTAAACTAGTTGTCAATTACGCTTGTTCGATGGCGTGGGGCTGATTCCAGGCGATGGTTCACAGGTTCTAAACTATTCTGATTACAACTGTGATTTGCATTTGGAGTTTGCTCTCTAAAATGACCGCCATCTTAGTACTATTTTAGATTTTATCTACCCCTTTAATTGATCAATTAAAGAGAAAAGCGAAGAGAGAGACAAAGAGAACATAGGATAAAAGAAATATAGAGATTGGATAAAAGAAAAAGAAGGCGGGTTTTTCATCTCTAACGTGTACGTGTCTTGTATTTTGAGGGCGAAGGCAGGTTTTTCTTCCCTAAGCAAAGGGAACATGGGATGCTGCTGGTAGTAGATTGAAGACTGATCAGGAATATAGAGATTGGATAAAATAAAAAGAAGAAAAAAAAACTGTGCGTTTGATTGGTAGATTCATGTCATTGTTCGTGACTCGTTACAGTATTCTGAATTATGATTTTGAATTTATGAACCAAACGTCCACTAATATTTGTAAATTTTTACAGGACATTTAGTTACCAAAAGGTTTGGAATTGTGCATATCATGGATTTAATATTACTTAGGGGTTGTTCTTTTGTAACAAAATTCAGAAAAAGTTGAAACTCAAGTTACAACTTATTTTAAGTTCCCGTTCTTTTAAGTTTCAATTTTATTCAATTTTATTTAATTTTATTTAAGTTACAATTTCAACTCAAGATATAATTTAAATTCAACTTAAAAATTACACTCAAGTCACACTCTAAAAGAACGTACTCTTGTACTTGAAACATTTTTTTGTTTCTTTCTTTTTATTGATTTGGGGTATAAAGCTTTAAATTCAAATTTCTTCTTGTTTTTCGTGGAACAAGTACTTAGCTGTTCAAAGATGCAATTATAGATTTTGGACGGATTTCATTAGCCACAGGTACCGAAATGTATTTGCCGGGAAAACAAACGGCACAAAAACACACACAAGATAGTTTCAATAGCCGTCGTACTTAAAAAAGAAAAAAAAGAAAGAAAAACAAAACAGATAATTATACTTAGATAGGCCTTACGTATTTGCATTGCTTTTGTTTTGTTTTAAGTTATGGGCAACTGATATATGTTTCAATCAATACATACAATGAAAGAAAAACAACTGTAAAATGGTTCTCTCAGCCTAATTTTGAAAATTTCACCACCACTTCCCAAAACTCAAGAGAAAGAGATCGCAATTTTTCACCCTCAGCCAGCCAGATTGGTCGATCGACCTGTTTTTCACAAAGGACATTTCACAATTTGCTGTTTCGGAAAACGACATTAAAAAGTCGTGTAAAATATATATATAATTTAACAGCCGTTTCGAGTTCTTGGAAGCCGAATAAAAAATTTCTAGCATTCAATCCTTTCAAGGCAAGAGGCAGCCTGATCAACAATACCAAATTAAGGGTCCCAATTCCAGACGATCTTGTTTTTTCGCAGGTAAAAGTAGTTTTTGCAAAATTCCTCACAAATTCTTTACAAATGGCCATAAGCTATTTCAAATCCTATACGAAAACCAAGAGGGCTATTCTAAAAGCACAAAAGTCGTCATGAAAGATTTTTCTGGTCTGGGAATTTTACAAGGAAAAACTGGTATGGAACCACATGTATAGATGGAAAAACTGTGTAGTTGAAATTGACTTAGTCAGCTTCAAGTTCAGTACCAAACTGCTCCAACCGCGCAGCATCCTCTACCAAATCCCTGACCAAAGCATGGTTAACGACACCATCATCCTCGCTCGCATGTATCTGCTTACCACCGAACCTAAATAGAAACAAAGATCAATTATAAACTAAACCTAACCTGAATTAACACCAAATCCAACTTGCAAAGGAAGAGCCAGCGACAGCCAACAGATAAAACTATTTTTTAGTATGTAAATTTCAAACATGACACAGAAGGGTTTCAAGAAATTACCATCTTCCATTCATCATATCTATGCACTTTTGAGCGTCCTTCCTGTCCTTGTATTTCACTAAAACAACACCCTGTGGATGATTCTCGCAGACCTGCAACAAAATTAAACACAAATTTTATTTAAGAAGACAATTAGGACATGGATATGCCAACCAAATTAGAGCAAAAGTCCAGCGACTTATAAATATGTTGACAACAAGGGATACTTCATAAAACTCCTCTTTCTTAAGTTAGTTAAAACATTCTACAAGCCAACCCTGATAATATATCATGACACTGAAATAAAGGAGCAAATAAGTGATCCAGCGAACAGAAAATGCAACACCAAAAGACGCTTGTGTCATTGTAACCTTATCAGAAAATAACGAAGACAGTCGTGGGAAAGCTAAAGTTTCTTCAGTTTACCGTGGTATTTAAACAACACAAAAATAAAAGTAGTCTTGGTCACCAAAGAAGAGCAGCTGCAGTTGTTTAGTAATCTCAATTCCATACTTGACAAGAAACAATGTTTTTTAGCATGTTTGGCAAGACATCTGAAAGGTTTGGACGTAACCTTTGTCAAAGCAAACAGTAAAAGGTGGAACCAATCATGTGAAAAGAGAAAATTGAACAAGGCATACTTCAAACTATAGACGAAAATTCTTGAACAAGGCTTTTGGATTAGTCAGCAATGATCATTACAAACATGCCCAGCTATGGTGGATGTTGTCGAAGATTTGAAGATAACATACAATAGAAATGATCGCTGCAAATCTATAATCTATGTGAAAGAAAATAGACAGTAGGATTACCTTAACGGAGTCCACTGGACCAAGCTTGGAACATTCCTCCTGAACATCTTCACCGAGTTCCAATTGTAAATTTTCATCGGCCTGTAAAAGTAAAGTAAACTCTCAGTTTCATACAAGGTGCAGTAAACAGTTGGATCATTCCTTGTGTATAGGGGCTTGTCCCATACTCTTAGGAAAGCTGAAATTTAGTGATAAGAAATAAAGAGAAAAAAAGGGCACAATGAATCCCCCGCATGAAAAAAAAGGAATGAAGAGAAAACCAATTACACAACACTCTACGCATTGTAAGAATCATCGGGGAAAAAAAAAAAGAGGTCAGAAACATGCAGAGAACAATATACTAAATCCAGAAACCCTCAAAAATGATTTACAGGGAAGACGGCAATGTGTTTTAATAGATACTTAGCCTAGGAAACGTGCCTTTTACATTTTAGAAAGCGTTCCTAAGCACGCATCTCAAGAACTGACTAGTTACTAAAAGGGCAATCTTAGAGGGCATTATTCAGTAATCGAATCAAATGCAAAATAATTATTGAGAAGAGATTTCACAACAGTCAACCTACCCTCATTTCAGCAGGGGTAAACATGTTCCGAAGAACAACGGTAGCTGGAATAGACACCTTTGCATCGTCACGGCCACCTGTCAATGAATAAGTGCAAAACTCTAGATTGGAACAGCATGTAAAGATAAACCTAAAATTTTTCCAACCAAAAAAAAAAAAAAAAAATCACCAGCATTAAAAAAGTACAAATTACAATCTCAGACTAATACGTGCTACAAGTAGAACAGTTATAGTTTTTCTTTTAGTTTTTTCTTCCCCAACTAAGAAACAACACATTTCAACCAAATTGATAAAAATAAAATGCCGAATGCAAATCTGGAACGTAAATAGAAAAGGGAAACAAAGTCTAGTAAACATTTCCACATTATTTTGGAAAAAATAAAAAATAAAAAAGATTCTTGGACATAAAGATCAATCAACGGCAAATGACGTCCAGAATATCAAATAAACTGGAAGGAAACAATAAGGAAAAATGAAGCAGCATGCAGTATATGGTCAACTTACAGAATAAAATAAAGCATTAGAGAGGGTGCAACATAAGAGAACCTACCCCAGCCAAGCATCTTGTCTTCTACCTTCTTAAGTTTCTTCTTCTTCTTATTGTCTACTTTCTTGGAGATAAACCTCTCCCCTGCATTATGAGTAACGGAAACTCATAGACTAATCACGTACAAGACAGAGATTGGATGGAGATTCTTTCATAGAAGGTAGGCAAGCAATCATCAGGAGTGTCCCATACATATGTTTTTGTGTTTTACTAAATTGCATTACTAGTACAGTATTTAACTATTGTGTATAATTCAATATACAAAAATAAAAACTACCAAATCTGATGTGTCAAATGAGGTACAAGTGATATAAATTACACCCTAATACAGTTAAACGATTGGAGTTGTTACCTTTCTGCTCGAACTTAGCCTGGGTGACTGACATTGGAATCTTGTCACCCGGACGTAGAGGTGATCCATCCAAAATTTGCAAAGCCAGAGGCACTGAAGGTTCCTAAAGTACACATACACATAATGAACCCCAGGAAGAGTAAAGAAAGTTCAAATTTCATAAGCAAAGTCTATGCAAAAGCCAGTACCTTCAGATATGTAACAAGTGCATCTCCTTTCTTCCTTCCAGTCTCTTTATCAACATACAGCTTTACACGAGGCTTTTTCATTTCTGGATCCTATGGATTATTAAATGTGTTTGTTTAGAACGAGATAGTTTAAAAGAATGACACATTCTATTGTATGAGAGAGTGTGTGAAGCACAATAAGAACCCATAGCATATTACATTTTTTTTTTTTTGGGGAAAGTACAACATTTTAAATTTGTGAAAGAGAAACAAAGCCAAAGATTAATTCCACATTCAATCAAAAGCTCCATAAATCCAAAGTTACAGAAGAAAAGGATAATTTTCCCATGACATCGAAATGAATGCAATGAGGAACAAGATATAGATAGCTAGAAATTTAAAATTATGTTGATCTATTAGGACTTTTGGATTATTTAGGTTTGATTAAGTTCATCTCATACTGGATTGAGTTTATCTGATTATTACTTGTTCTTTCTCTATTAATAGACCTATCCATTATATTTTCAATTCGGACTTAATAGTTGAATGAATATTGAGATTTCAAATTTATTCGAGTTCTCATTCTCTTTCTAATCTCTATTGGTTCTATTTCTCTAACTTAATACCATCTCTTCTTTCAGTTCTACATGAGGAGGACAATCCCAGCACGCAAGACCATGCAAAAATAAAACGCAAACTAAATAATTTAACAAAAAGTAAAAAATATGCACCTCCTTTATTATCCCACACTTGGAGAATACTTCCACCACCTGCAATGAATTCCTTTAGCACCTAGCCACAAGTAATATGCTAGGACAAGAAATAACAATAATTAAAGCTTACTTCATCAAGTGTAACATCATCAGGCAAGCCAGTCACATAGACATGTGTATTGACTTTTAACTCAAACCAGCTGTCAGGAGGTTTATTGGCTTCCTGCACAATGAAAAAATAAGTACAAAAGAAGACACAGCGGGCAGCAACCAATAGGTTCAGGATCAGCAAAAATTAGTCAAATAGTTTCAATATCAAGACAAACAAAAAGGAAGTCAAATACCCAACAAACGAAAAAAAAAAAAAAAAGAAATAATCAATTCTGAAATCACAAATAAAAAACAGTAAACCTTCTTCGTAGCTTCCTTGTCATCCAGTTTTCTCTTTCCATTTTGCTTTCCTTCCACTGCCTCATTGTTTCCATTTTCTTCTTCTTCTTTTGCAGGGGGATTAGATAGATTTACGGTTTCCTTAACTTTTTCAGTTGCAGAAATATCAGAAGAATTAACAGTTGGAAAGACCTCCTCCTCTTGCAAGAAAGTCATGTCTTCTAAGACGTACTCATTGCCTCTACCATATGCACTATCCTATTACATGTAAAGCCAGTTGAAAAGACATTAAAAAACGAACATCCTGAAAAGAAACTTGCACCAAGAGAAAACTAATGCCGCGGATAGGTTATTCACGCATAGAATATTACAGTGATATTTAAGGAGAAGGAATAAAATACAAAGATGGGACATAAGGTGTAAATCATCATTTTTCTGGAAAAACAAATTTAAACAATTCAAGTTTTATGTTAAAAAAACATAATAAATGCAATCTGAAACAAATAGTTGTTTTATTTATTTACTTTTTTTTTAACACATTCTGCATCATGAGAAAATAATGGGCAGCACGCACAAGGAACTATAGCATACCAACTGAACCTACACATGAATCCAAACAAGTTGGAGACATTAATCTTTAGCACCAGAAAAGAAAGGTTTTGGCGAAGTGAGAAATCGGATAAGAATTACCCAAGCAGTACAAGGAACTGTAACTTGTAAACTAGACACTTCGCATCATTAGAACAAACAAATGATGAAGAAAAGCGATGTTTAGCCAAAAGAAAGTAAGAAAGTAAGAACGTGGAGAATCAGAATAGGAACAACAACATTGAAAATAAAATGAAGTTGGAGCAAAAGTTATGCTTATCAAGAGAAATCAACTGAGGAGACAGATATTGGAATCTGATGATTAATTTCAGTAGTGTGCTATAACGAAAGAGTGATGGGAACAAGTGGCAACTGAGGTGGAGTTCTTTCTATTACGCTTACAGCTTGCCAAGATTTTAGCCAGGGGAATGACATGATATTGATCCCATTCCCCCCCACACCACCGTTAAAAAA